GGCAGGACGGTAGAGCGACGGCCTTGCTTTATGCAGGTCAGCGTTCAATCCCCGACTGTCTAAGTAGTTGGGCACCATTCATTTCCCTGTCCCATCCCAAATCCTTAACCTGACTCCCTCTAGGTGCTATATTCTCATAATGGCTTGACGCTTTCCCCCTGATAATTCTATCCCTTCCCTCTCTTTTATCTCTCTCTTATTAACTGTATTATTCTCATTTTCCCATTCTACATCTGTCTGTAATGTTCTGTTACTATCTGTTATTTTACAAGAAGAATGTTTCTTGTAAAACAGTTATTACCATGCATCTTAACACTGGTCTTCTACCGGTATTTTGTCAATAGTCGAGTGTTTATGCTCAACTTCTCAATATCAAATAACGTTTTTACACGTTATCTATTCTCTTTTCATGTTCTTACGTGTTCTCTTTACGTTATAGTTATGTTCTCTTTACGTTATTCATGTTCTCAGCACAACCTGCTAAACGTCCTTACATGTTCTTTGCTTGCCCTTCACATGTTTTCTTTACATTATTTATGTTCTCATCATGTTTTCTGCAAGTTCAGTTCATGTTCTCTATATGTTCTCTGTATTTCCTTAAACCAAATTGTACCATTGTTTCAATTTCATCTTTATAAAGTAACTAGTTCATTGTTGGATATTATCAACAGCATTACTGTTTCTCAACAAATTTCATTATTTATTTACTAATTTCTTTACTTTAAAAGTATTTATTTACAAATTATGTATTTAATTAACAAAAGATATATTATTTACTTTGAAATGTTATTTGCCAAAATTTGCTCATTTATATTCTTATTTGTAAACAGTTAATGCATTTCATTTATCTTAATATTTCTTACTGACACTTCTCTTAACTACGGATACTCTTTATGCAGCAAAAAAATTATTATCACATTTATTTCATGTCTCATCTTAGGATACGCTTCCCGCATTAATAACATTGTCATGGGGTAACTTCTTAATATTTCTAAACTAAAACTACTCTCCGAAACATCTTTATACATCAAAGAACTGCTCTCCGAGCCATCAAGGATGCTCTCTAAGACACCTTCATGCATTACAAGACACTCTCCCTGATGTATTCATGGAACATGTATACTCTCAGAGACATCGAGCATATTCTCCCAGACATCTTCCTGTAACAAAGGTTACAAGGCAAGAAGGATACTTTCTAGGAGACCTTCATTCTTCAAAGTGTACTTTCTAGGACATGTTCATGCATCTAAGACAACTCTCGCTGAAACAAACATTGCTCATAATATTTAATAAATAAATAGTCAAGGGTATCTTTCATATTTAAACTTAACATTACTGTTTATGTAGTAATAAAACATAATAATACAGTTTCTATAACGCAACTGTACAACATTCATGTTTTACATCTTTGTATTAAACTAAGTAAATCGTTTCTTTATTATATTTTAAGTAACATTTCACAGAGAAATCACATTATCATGACATAGCAATGAGATATTCCACAGGAGCTATGATGAGGGTTCGAACCTATGCCCTGGGTGTTCCCAGATGCACGCTCTAGTTTATTATGTCGTAGCGTACTCGACTAGAGTGTGCATCTGGGAACACCCAGCGCATAGGTTCGAACCTATATCACTGCTCCTGTGGATTTTCTTAAATATCATTACAGTTTTATGCCATAAACAAATTATACACTTGAATCTTTCTGTAACATATTTAAACAATAGTTTGCGTTAAACTCACTAAGACAGGTCTTTATGTAGTCACAAACAACTTTAAGTATTAGATCAAACTAACATGTACAACTTTTCGTCATATTTCATGACTTTATGTACTAATAAACTTATGCTTCATATAAAATTAATAAAATCACAAACTTTTATGTAGTATTCGTTTAACTCTGACATTTACAGTCAAAACGTGTTTAACAACATTTTATATGTCACACATATGACATATGACAATGAGGAATTTATAGAGTAGATAAGGACATGCTATTTAACACAAGGGGCACACGCACTAGGGTACAAAGATGGAAACTGAGTGCCCAAATGATCCACAGAGATATTAGAAAGAACTTTTTTAGTGTCAGAGTGGTTGACAAATGGAATGCATTAGGAAGTGATGCGATGGAGGCTGACTCCATACACAATTTCAATTGTAGATATGATAGAGCCCAGTAGGCTCAGGAACCTGTACACCAGTTGACTAACAGTTGAGAGGCGGGACCAAAGAGCCAGAGCTCAACCCCCGCAAGCACAAATAGGTGAGTACATCTCTATTATGTCACTCGCAAAAATACCTCATCTCTCTGTAACATATCTATCATTTCTTATTCATGTAACTTCCTTTAAGCAGTAGTTTTTCTCTGTCATATATATTATTAGAACAAACGTTTAACAAAGATATATCTTGTAATGTAACTTGTTTATGCAATAACTTTCCATAACTTTATATCTCTGACAAAACATTGTCACCTTAGTACAAACGAACTACGGCAAAACGTGTAAAAATCACTTACAATGTCATACATTTCTGTTAACTCTCAAAACACTCTGTAACTAGTTCAACTTTTCATAACAAATTTACATTACGGTTTATTACTGATTCTGTTTTAAAATGGATTCTCCAAAAGATTTTATCTTTGAAACTGTGCTCCGAACACAATACATTATGCTACCTAACCTGATTTACCTGAGCTAACCTAACCTAAGGTCACTTACCTAACCTAATTTATCTACCAAACCCAGCTTACCTAACCTCACCTACCTGATTTAACTTAATTATTGTAACTTCCCTAGCTTACCTAACCTAACCTACTTAACCTAACCTACTTAACCTAACCTAACTTACTTAACCAAAGTTACCTAACCAAAGTTACCTAACCAAAGTTACCTTACCTAAGTTACCTAACCTAAGTTACCTAACCTAACTTACCTAAACTAAGTTACCTAATCTAACTTACCTGATCTAACTTTCCTAGACAAACATAACTTTCTTAACCTAACCTACCTAACCTAAAGGGGCCTCGTAGCCTGGTGGATAGCGCGCAGGACTCGTAATTCTGTGGCGCGGGTTCGATTCCCGCACGAGGCAGAAACAAATGGGCAAAGTTTCTTTCACCCTGAATGCCCCTGTTACCTAGCAGTAAATAGGTACCTGGGAGTTAGTCAGCTGTCACGGGCTGCTTCCTGGGGGTGGAGGCCTGGTCGAGGACCGGGCCGCGGGGACACTAAAAAGCCCCGAAATCATCTCAAGATAACTTCAAGATAACCTGATGGAACTTATCTCACATAAATAACCTAACCTACCTGACTCACCTACCTAACCCAACTTACCAAGCCTTACCAACCTGATGTAACTTACCTAACGTAACTTATAACCTGCCTACCTGACGTAACTTAGCATAATTTCCCTAACCTAATCTATCTGACATAACTTACCTAACATAACTTACAAAGCATAATTTCCCCTTATGTAATCTCACCTAACCCAACTTACCTACCCTCACCTACCTAACTTACATAACGTATTTTAAACCACATCCTATTTTCTCTGGAACATCAACTCTTCCTATGTATATATTTACCCAGTCAACACTCTTTCACACTTACAAACCAACGTTTACATATTACATTCTCAAAACATACATACTTGCAGAAAATATCCATGACATATTAACTTTTACATAAATTGCATGAATACTTACACAAGATATGTCACAATCTCATCTACATATACAATGACATTCACAAACTAGCATAAACTTATATTAATACACAAACAAACAAACACAGACTTGGACACAAATGTAAATTTCACTACACATATGAACACGTCTTTATATACAAAATATGTAGAAGCGTACACACATATAATTACTTTCACAAACTTTTTCAAATTCACACAAGTAACCCCAGGTGTAGTGTAGGGAGCACCAACACAGACAACAGTAACCCCAGGTGTAGTGTAGGGAGCACCAACACAGACAACAGTAACCCGAGGTGTAGTGTAGGGAGCACCAACACAGACAACAGTAACCCCAGGTGTAGTGTAGGGAGCACCATCACAGACAACAGTAACCCCAGGTGTAGTGTAGGGAGCACCAACACAGACAACAGTAACCCCAGGTGTAGTGTAGGGAGCACCAACACAGACAACAGTAACCCCAGGTGTAGTGTAGGGAGCACCAACACAGACAACAGTAACCCCAGGTGTAGTGTAGGGAGCACCAACACACACAACAGTAACCCGAGGTGTAGTGTAGGGAGCACCAACACAGACAACAGTAACCCGAGGTGTAGTGTAGGGAGCACCAACACAGACAACAGTAACCCGAGGTGTAGTGTAGGGAGCACCATCACAGACAACAGTAACCCCAGGTGTAGTGTAGGGAGCACCAACACAGACGACAGTAACCCCAGGTGTAGTGTAGGGAGCACCAACACCACAACAGTAACCCCAGGTGTAGTGTAGGGAGCACCAACACAGACAACAGTAACCCCAGGTGTAGTGTAGGGAGCACCAACACACACAACAGTAACCCCAGGTGTAGTGTAGGGAGCACCAACACAGACGACAGTAACCCCAGGTGTAGTGTAGGGAGCACCAACACAGACGACAGTAACCCCAGGTGTAGTGTAGGGAGCACCAACACCACAACAGTAACCCCAGGTGTAGTGTAGGGAGCACCAACACAGACGACAGTAACCCCAGGTGTAGTGTAGGGAGCACCAACACAGACAACAGTAACCCCAGGTGTAGTGTAGGGAGCACCAACACCACAACAGTAACCCCAGGTGTAGTGTAGGGAGCACCAACACACACAACAGTAACCCCAGGTGTAGTGTAGGGAGCACCAACACAGACAACAGTAACCCCAGGTGTAGTGTAGGGAGCACCAACACACACAACAGTAACCCCCATGACCTGAGTCTCTACAATACCACCTTCACACACACATTGAGCCACGGCTGACCTGCTCTGCTTCTCTCCTGCAGCAGAGCGAGTGCTGGCGTCCAGCACCACGCCTCGGGCCAGGGGCGTGAGCAGTTACTGCGGCGAGGCTGACGAAGGCGCCGAAGACCCCCAGGCCAGAGCCCTCTCAGGCCTCTGGCCCACCCTCATGTCCTCCTCCGTCTGAACCAGCCGGTAAGTGTGGTCCGACTCAGGGCCTAGTGAAGGTTTATTGCTGTTGGGAAGGTGCCCAATAGTTTCTGGCTTATTAGTGTGAACTTAGGAGGGAAATGAACTATCAGGAGAAAGCGCCAAGCCATTACGACTATATAGCACTGGGAAGAGGTTAGGATATGGATTTGTGAGGGGACGAGGGGATGTAATAGTGCCTAGCCACTTGCACGGTCGGGGATTGAACGCCGATGTTTCTGTACCTCCACAACACAGTCCCTGTACCACTGTTGTTACTGTACCTCCACAACACAGTCCTTGTACCACTGTTGTTACTGTACCTCCACAACACAGTCCCTGTACCACTGTTGTTACTGTACCTCCACAACACAGTCCTTGTACCACTGTTGTTACTGTACCTCCACAACACAGTCCTTGTACCACTGTTGTTACTGTACCTCCACAACACAGTCCTTGTACCACTGTTGTTACTGTACCTCCACAACACAGTCCTTGTACCACTGTTGTTACTGTACCTCCACAACACAGTCCTTGTACCACTGTTGTTACTGTACCTCCACAACACAGTCCTTGTACCACTGTTGTTACTGTACCTCCACAACACAGTCCTTGTACCACTGTTGTTACTGTACCTCCACAACACAGTCCCTGTACCACTGTTGTTACTGTACCTCCACAACACAGTCCCTGTACCCCTGTTGTTACTGTACCTCCACAACACAGTCCTTGTACCACTGTTGTTACTGTACCTCCACAACACAGTCCCTGTACCACTGTTGTTACTGTACCTCCACAACACAGTCCTTGTACCACTGTTGTTACTGTACCTCCACAACACAGTCCCTGTACCACTGTTGTTACTGTACCTCCACAACACAGTCCCTGTACCACTGTTGTTACTGTACCTCCACAACACAGTCCCTGTACCCCTGTTGTTACTGTACCTCCACAACACAGTCCTTGTACCCCTGTTGTTACTGTACCTCCACAACACAGTCCCTGTACCACTGTTGTTACTGTACCTCCACAACACAGTCCCTGTACCACTGTTGTTACTGTACCTCCACAACACAGTCCTTGTACCACTGTTGTTACTGTACCTCCACAACACAGTCCCTGTACCACTGTTGTTACTGTACCTCCACAACACAGTCCCTGTACCACTGTTGTTACTGTTTCTGAAGGATGTTTTGACTTTTGCCAGCGTAGAGTATACGACTGTCATTATTATATGTAAACGAGCCTCTGGAGTTAGGTTTGGTGTTATGTCCACTCCAGGTCTTTTTCTCTACGGTACAGGGAGGTAGTTTACCTTCATGGTATATTGGTCTTTCGGTCTCCTGGCTCCTGTCCCCATTCCCATCACCTTGCACTTGTTAGTGTTGAAATCTAGCATCCATTTCTCGGACCATCTCTACAACCTGTTCAAATCAGCCCGGAGAATCCTACAATCCTCATCTGTCTCAATCCTCCTCATTAGATTTGCATCGTCTGCAAACATCGACTTTAAAGACTCAACTCCTTTAGCCAAGTTATTTACATAAATGAGGAATAGAATGGGTCCCAGCACCGGTCCTTAAGGCATCCCGCTTGTTACTCTACGCCAGTCTGGACTCCTCGCCCCTCACTGTCACTCTCTGACACCTGTCTGTCAGGTAATTCCATGCCCATGATAGTGCGCTTCCGTCTTCTCCCGCCTGCCTATCTAGTTTGCCTTTGTGTGGCAGTGTATCAAAGGCTTTTTGGCAATCCAAAAATATGAAATCTGCCCATCCTTCTCTGTCTTGCATTATTTTCAATACTTTATTATAGAACTCCAGAAGGTTCGTCAGGCATGATTTCCCTTCACTAAAGCCGTGTTGTTGTTTACTTATAAACCTTATTCTTTCTAACTTTGCAACTAGTCTTAACCTTATAATTATCTCAAGTACTTTGCAAGGGATGCCTTTGAGCGACAGTGGTCTGTAGTTAAGTGCCTCTTCTCTATCTCCATTCTTATTGATTTGCACCACATTTGCCTTCTTCCAGCAGATGGGCAATTTCCCCTGTATAAGTTACTCTTAATAGATTAGTGCTAGAGGTATGATGAGGGCCTGTGCAGCTTCCTTTAACATCCATGGTGATACTCCATCTGGCCCAGTAGCTTCAGTTACATCCAGTGATGCTAACTGTATTCTTACTTCCTCCGCTGTTACCTCAATATTTATCAGTTTTCATCAGGGACAACTTCCCCATCAACTTCTGGGAGCTGTTCAGGCTCAACAGTGAACACTCCATGGAAGCTGGCATTCAGCTCATCACAAATTTATTTTCGATTTTCTGTATACTGGCCTCCCATTTTTCGTAACCTGGTAACTTGGTCATTGATTGTAATTTTTCTTCTTATTTGGTTATGTAGGAGTTTCGGATGGCTCTTTGCTTTGGAGGCAATATAATTTTCATAGTTTATTTCTGCCAATCTTCTTATGTTAATGTAGTTATTTCTGGCCCTGTTGCATCTATTCCGGATTACCTCTGTCCTTTGCCTTCTGTATTTCCTCCACTCCCTCCTGCTTTTTTATTTCGCTTCCTGGCAATGTCTATTGAACCACGGGTTATTATATGTTCTCCTACCTTTTTTTTCCCTTAATGGTGGTATGAATCTCTCTTCTGCCTCTTTACACCTCAGTTTGACTTGGCTCACCATTTCCTGAACTGTCTTCCCTCTCAGTTCCTCTTCCCGTTGCACACTTTCCAGATACTCTGTTACCTTCACGGAGTCTCCTTTTTTATAGTCTGCTCTCCCTTCCCTGACTCCTTGTCTTACGAGCACTGTTCTGAGTCCCGTCATGTAGTGTAATACCAGGACACAGTGGCCACTTGCTCCTAGTGGTATTTCATGCTCTAAGTTCTCAAAGTCTTCCTCATTCTGGGTGAAGATCATGTGCAGAAAGCATGGTGAATCTCCTTCCCTTTCTCTTATGTCCTCCTTTACATGTTGTGTTAAGAAGTTTCTTTCTACAACTTCCACTAATTTCGCTCCCTACGTTTCTTCCCCACATGAGGATTTCGTGAATCCCAGTCAATCTCTCCATGATTTAGGTCCTTCATGACTAGAAGTTTAGCTCCCATTCTGTGTGCCACTTTTGCTGCTCTTTGCAATGCCTTTATGCATGCATTGTTGTTGTCATTTGGACAACAACTGTCATCACTTGGAATCCCCCTGGAAATATTGCATCAGAGATCATATAATTTGTTTTCGTTTCCACTATTACAATCAAGTCTGGGTCATTTTCATATACTCTTTCTTTAATTTCCTCTACCTTGTTTGTAGCTCCGTCGGCGAAGATGTACCAAATCTTCAGGTTCTTCCTGGACACCATTTTTCCCAGAGATTTCAGGTTGGGGAGTGGGTGGGAGTCCGGGGGGTGAGTGGTGGTCAGGGAGTATGTGCGGGTCAGGGTGAGGGAGGGGTTCAGGGTATGGGTAAGGGAGTGGTTGGGGTCATGGAGTGGTTAGGGGTCAGGAAGAGGGCAGGGGATAAAAAGTAGGTGGGGGTCGGTGAGTGGTTGGATGTCAGTAACTGGGGGTTCAGAAAGTGAGTAGGGGTCAGGGATTGGTTGGGAGTCAGGGAGGTGGTAGGGGATAGGGAGTGGACAGGGCTCTATTTAGCCAGTGAGGCAAGATTTACCCTCCCTGAACCCATGTTGATGGGTTGTCACGAAGGCCCTTCTCTCCAGATGTGTTACCAGGTTTTTTCTCACGATCTTCTCCATCACCTTGCATGGTATACAAGTCAAGGACACTGGCCTGTAGTTCAGTGCCTCTTGTCTGTCACCCTTTTTGTATATTGGGACCACATTAGCCGTCTTCCATATTTCTGGTAGATCTCCCATCTCCAGTGACCTACTATACACTATGGAGAGTGGCAAGCAAAGTGCTTCTGCACACTCTTTCAATACCCATGGTGAGATTCCATCTGGACCAACAGCCTTACTCACATCCAGATCCAACATATGCCTCTTTACCTCATATTTGGTAATTTCGAACCCTTCCAAGGCTTCCTGGTTTAGTGCCACGTCTCCTAGCTCAGGGACTTCACCTCATTCTATTGTGAAGACCTGGAATCTCTTTTTGAGTTCATCACACACCACTCTTTGTCACTCTCTGTGTACCTAGCCTCACCTGTTCTAAGTTTCATCAACTGTTCTTCCACTTGTTTTCCTCCTGAAATGACTATGAAGCAGTTTTAGTTCGGTCTTGGCTTTATTTGCTATGTCATTTTCATACTGTCTCTCTGCTTCTCTCCTCACTCTGAGGTACTCATTCCTGGCTCTCTGGTAACTCTCTCTGCTTCTCTCCTCACTCTGAGGTACTCATTCCTGGCTCTCTGGTAACTCTCTCTGCTTTCTGGTTTTCTGTTATTTTGGAAGTTCCTCCACACCCTTTTGTTCAGTTCAGTGTGTACTCACCTAGTTGTACTCACCTAGTTGTACTCACCTAGTTGTGCTTGTGGGGGATGAACTTTGGCTCTTTGGTCCCGCCTCTCAACCGTCAATCTACTGGTGTACAGATTCCTAAGCCTCTCCTGCTCTATCCTATCTACATTTGAAACTGTGACTGGAGTCATCCTCCACCACTTCACTTCCTAGTGCATTCCATTTACTAACTACTCTGACACTGAAAAAGTTCTTTCTAATGTCTCTGTGGCTCATTTGGGTACTCAGTTCCCACCTGTGTCCCCTTGTCCGTGTACCACCCGTGTTAAATAGTCCATCCTTGTCTACCCTCTTAATTCCCCCTGAGAATTTTGTATGTGCTGATCATGTCTCCCCGAGCTCTTTTGTCTTCCAGCGACGTGAGGTGCAGTTCACCAGTTCCATGCTGTGGCTGCCTACTCCAGGATTGGATTTAGATATGTCGTATACAAGGTTCTGAAAGATTCCTTACACAGGTTTCTGAAGGCAGTTCTGATGTTAATCAGGCTCGTATACGCTGCTGATGTTATTTTTTTTA